GACGTCGTCCCTAAGTTTAAATTATTGATAGCTATACTGTATGATACTTTATTTTAGCTGGAAATAATTTTTCGTATGGAATTTATTTCTACTGTTTTTTGATGAGTTGAATGTGAAATATAGAAAAAAAAGGTATATTTGCTGGATTTTATTTTCAATCAATCATTCCTTCAGCAAAAATAGGGAAAACAAATTCCAAGCAGAAATATTTTACAGTAATACTTTATATGAAGTTTTTATGAAAAGGCAAAACCAACTGATAGACAACATGAACGTTGAGTTATGCTCAGACTGTTTGTGAAAAAACACATTGATATTATTAATATCAAAAAAACATTAATTTACCAGACATCCACTGCATATCCTGAACTCCATTGTAAAACAGTCATTAAAACTCATCTTAGCACCTTCTCGTAACTGACGTAGCGTAACCTTCATAGATGTTGGTGACATACGCTTAAGAATCTGATAATACAAAATTAATAAGAATCTCATATTACAAAATATGATATTAAGAAAGATAAAATAAGATATTAAGAAAGATAAAATAAGATATTAGGAAAGATAAAATAAGATATTAGGAAAGATAAAATAAGATATTAAGAAAGATAAAATAAGATATTAAGAAAGATAAAATAAGATATTAGGAAAGATAAAATAAGATATTAAGAAAGATAAAATAAGATATTAAGAAAGATAAAATAAGATAATACGGTGTGATATGATAAAATCATATTAAAGTAAAATTAATACAATTAAAAATCTCTCCATAATTACGCATGTGTTGCAAAGTTGTGCGTTTAATATGTAGGATACAATTTTTAGGTTTCCTATCTTCAAGTCTTTCCTGTTTAGCAGCAAACTGACTATCTACAAAATTCTCTTCACCAAGGTTAACTTTTGTTAGGGCCTTTAGGCACGGGAAATTTTGACCATTTCATTCAAAAGTAATAATTTAAAAAAAATTCCATAAACGTTTGTGACTGCAAACTATTTTACCTTCTTAGTCCTTGTTGGTTATCAAATTTAAGCTATATAGTTTTGCTTACAGTAATATAGTTGGAACATAAACATGTCAGAGATATGGATCCAAAAGCTAATGCTTGATTATGATGATTTAACATTAAAATGACCAACATTCAGTCATTTTGTATCTGATCATCAAACAAGTACTTGTCCATACTAGAAGATATTGCTCTGGAACAGCATTAATTAAAACAAAATGGCCACCAACCATTTGAACCAGATCGTCAAATCAATTCATCTATATATCTATTACATGATGTTTAATGAATATATAAAATATGAACATAATTAGTCAAAGCATGTCAGAGATATGACTTTAGAACTGCATTCTTTAAAAATGGACACCAGTCAGCCAATTTAAATCTAATCTGAAAACCAAGGTCCCATAATGTCCAATGTATGTACCAAGTTTGAACAAAATCCATCTGCAAACAGCAAAGATCCAGTTCTGGAATGCCAGAGTTTGATGATTTTTCATCACAAAAAAAAGGTGCCATTTGGCCATCTAGAATCAGTTTGTGAAACAAATTGATGTGCATACAATGTACATGTATGTAGAATATTATGTATGATGTATGTGTGAAGTTTGAATGTAAGGCATGTCTAAGATATAGGGGTGGATGCACATATGCATGCACGCACGGATGTTGTCCAACAGGGACTGAAAATGCTATTGAGGGCTCATACCACTAATTGAATTTCCATAGACGACAATGTTAACATATGACGAGATTGCTATATGAAAATGACGAAGAAAGTTGAAAATATGGCTCAAAAATGGGAAATCAACATGCCAGTCATCAACCATATGAAAAAAACTAACATGTTGGCCAGCTCAAACTCTTGCAAATCTCAGGTAAACAAGACACACCTACTGTATTTGGATTGCACCAAGAGAAATCACTGGAAAAACACCAAGATTAGAACATCCATTAACACACAGAATAAACCCACAGGTATACAGCCGCTAAGTAGTAAACAAAAGACCACATGTTGGTCTCACCTCTGACCCAGGTGATTACGCCCTCAAACAGGGAGCACCTGAGAAAAATAATATTTAAAAAATTTCATTGGTTCTTGCTGGGCATTTAAATTGAGGGCTACGAGCAGCCATTGGTTAATTAGTGGCATGAGAC